TTGAGCTTTGCGACATGGCGTGTTACCCGCTGGAAAGAGCCTTCAAAGGTTGTGTAAGGGGAGGTTGTGTAAGTGTCATAAGGGGATGAACTTGGCCAGAAATAATACTCAGGTAGGCTATGGTATTCAAACAATGCCCAGTTGGTACTATGGAGCCCAAAGTGTACACAGGTTCAATAAGGAAGATCTGTAGTAACTCATCTGTCTGCTTCCCAAGTGTTGGCGGCTAATCTAAGCTCCCACCTTCCTACACTGTCAAGCTGATTTTGACATCACTGGTCTAGTCCCATGATCTTCCTGCTTCCTGTGCATCTGCCATTCTCCCTTCCAGACATCTCCGTGCAACCCACCTCCTCTCCGTCTCCGCCTCTCGCTCATCAGTCAGCCTCCATCCAAGCCTCCATCTTCACCTGCAACCAGTGTCTAGACTATTCTCCACTGAATTCTGTGCATCATGTTCAGTTACTTCTAGTTATCTCTTGTTTTTGAACTATTGATACAGCACAAGATAGGATGATCCATTCATTCAAGTTGCTTGTGCCAATATAGCAGGAGAAATCAACACCAACAGACAACAGACCAGGCAGCGTTTTTCCAAGTTGTAGGCTCAGTTTCCTGTTCTTAGCTGACAGGAGTAGCACCTGGTATGTTGTTCTGTTGCTGTCACCCATCTGCTTCAAGGTTCAACATGTTATGTGTCCATAGATGCTCTTCTTAATACCTCGTTTGTAATGAGTAACTTGAGTTAACTTTGTCTTCCTATCAGCTTAAAGCAGTCTGGCCGTTCTCCTCTGACCTCTGGCATCAACAAGGTATTATCACCCAGCGAACTGCTGCTCACTGGATGTTTTCACTTTTTCAGAAGGTTCTCTGTAAACACTAGAGATGTTTGTGCGGTAACATCCAAGCGGATCAGCAGTTTCTGAAATACTCAAAGCAGCCTGTCTGGCACCAACAACCATGTCGCATTCAAAGTCGCTTTTTGCATATGCATAAAGGATGGAAAATGAAAAGAATCGTCTTGAAATGAAATGAAACTGCACACTGAGGCACCAAACACAACAAACAAGAAAATTCATTTTGGGGAAAGTTATGAGTCAAACAGAGATTCATTTTCAGATGGCGTTTACAAACAGAGGCCAAGCCTCTTTCAGACTTTCATCCAAGGGCTTCTGTTAGTTCTGAGTTTTCTCTAAGATAATGATTACAGTCGTGGCGATACATATTCAGAGACGTGTTCTGCTGCTTTAAATAATCCAAGGGCCTCGACCTTGTATGTCAGCTGTAGGTTAATTTCCTTGCACGAAAGCATGCAACATTTGCAACATTTTCACTATGTTAAGAACCCCAGTTGCTAATAAATGCCAACTAATTAAAATGTGCAGAGCTACTGACAGATTTATGAATATTAATGGCATTTGACAACTCTCCTAAAAGAAAGAGACAGGCTGTGCGCCGCATTTATGTGTGGGAACATTTAAGGTATCATCAAGGAGTGATGAGTTTGTTAAAAAAAACCATGACAGCTATCGGCAATGTGCTGCATATATTTTTCTCCCCCCCCCCCTTGTGAATAACCGATCGAACAAAGTCAGCATATTATCATGTGGTGAACTTTCCGGTGCAGCTACACTGCAGTTTAATGGAATGGAAGTCAGCCGTCTAACATAAGTGGTACGTAAATGTGAGGTGTATATATATATTTTTTTGTCTCTAACTCAACGGCAGAGCAGCCTGGTCCTTTTCACCATTTTGCACGTATATTCAACAATCAGAGAAGAGGCAGAGAAACCAATTTATTTCTGACAGCAGCCCCAACTGGCCATAACCAGTGGAAATGTCTAGCCTAGAGCAAAGCTCATATAGTAAAGCACTGTGTGATGATATTGTGTGAGGGCTGCAAGAAGATGAAAAATTTCAAATGAAGCAGTGAAAAAGGGCCATATGAAGCTCCAGTCTCCACTTAGTGTAAATTTCATCTGTCCATAGCTTTAGACTCAGGGATCTTTTCCACTTCAAATGTACTTGTACAAATCCACCGTGTATAGCAAGCCTTTTACAGAACATGTCCCTCATGGTCAACCAGTCCTCCTTAAATTGTAGAAAAGAAAGGACTGTGTGATTGTACTGTGCTCCGGACTTAACTACGGCGTGGTCGCTATCTTAAAAGTCTCAGGAGGTTGATAGCAAAGCCCACATTCAGAGCATTGATTGCAGAAGTTCAGCAAATTTCCCAGCTCAGTAAAGTGAGACCCTATCGATGATTTTCTTCTTTGTGTACTGCTTTTTTTCCTCTTCTTTTTCTTTCTCTGCTGCCAGCGAGATCGCACAAATGCTGCAAAATAATTATAGGTGGAGTCTTAAAACTTTTGAACTTCTCCAATAATGTTTGGATTAATCTCATGAAAATTAAAAAATCAGTCCATTCAGACGGATTTATCCACTTTAGACAAAAGGCTGTCACAAAAAGGCTTCGGTTAGTTCAGCAAATCAATGAAACCTTTCCATAAATCCTCCCAGACTGAAGGCATAATTTGTCTCTTCCAGTTTAAACCGTTTCGTTATTAGACTGAAGATGGTGAAGGGAAACTGCTTGGGAGATGACAAAGTGGCCACTGCACCTGTTGCTAGTGGTGTGCCTGAGAAATGGGTAAAAGACATCTGGTCTTTCTCAAAGTTTGAAAATTTTACATGTTTCACCCCCAGTTGGTGTATTTTTATTAGATAGATTTAAAACTCCCATATTACTTTTGGTATTACATGTTTAGCACAGGACAGATTACCCCAAACACTGGGTATATACTCCATAATGTAAAGCCAGATAAATGTGTTTCAAAGATCTATGGGGAACACTGTAATGCAGCATACGTAATAATAATAATAATATGCAGTATACAGGTGCTAACTTTTGTTAACAAACCTTGGGGAAAACTTTTGGCCAGTGTCCCAGATGCACTTTGGATGGTCTCCGTTTTCATTGCTGCTCCACCTTACAAGTATTTTTAGGATTTCCTTTATTGATGCTGTGATAACAACCCAGGGACATTTGTAACAATTGGTGTTGCTTATCCTGAATGACAAGGCAAGCATCTTAAAAAGGTGCACAAAAGTCTGATGTGGAAGGAGCTGTGTCTTGATCTGTGACTATATCAGCAGCAAAGACAAAGCCCTTCTCTGCACAATGATTTCTACCCCCAATTTTTTTTTTCTTTTTTTCTTTTTTTTCAAAAGAAGAGCTATTAATTTGTAGATGCTACCATTTTACCCGAGGAGAGTGTAGAAAGATGGGTCCATTTTATAGCTAAGCTGCAGCTGCATTGCTGTGTTGGGTGGCTTTATTTCCCATCCTGTTGTGCTTGGCTGAGGCTTGTAAACTGCCGTTACCCGACTTCTTTGGCTCGTTACGAAGTCTCAGTGAAGCTTTTATTTGCAAAGCCAGCTGAGCTTGAGGTCTTAACATTTACATGAGGACAATTTCAAGTCACCGTAGAGTCATAGTTAGTGTAGTGAAACTCTTCCAACCAGTGAGAGTATTTTATTAGCACCAGCAGCACAGCTTTATACACCTCTAAAGGCCCTTTGTGTGATCCACTATCTTCGTTTCTTTTTGCTTATGTCCTTCAACCTTTTGATTCCCTATCCTGCCAACCATGAGCCGTGCTGTTCAGACCTAACTGACATGTTAACACTTTGAATTGTCTCAGTTTATGGGATGAAAAATGATATTTTCAGTCTTATGGGCATTTAGGAAAATATTAAAGGACATAGTCTGTGCTTGGATCGGTACCTTATGTGATTTAAAATATAGTGACCTTCAAAATTGAATAAACATGCACACATGCACGCAAATGGGATTCATTATAAATGCTCCCACAATGTATGGGAAGATATAAAGCTGAGTTGTTAATCACAGGGCATTAGGGCCGGAGGTGAAGGCTGCCAGCTTTGCAAATGTATTCATCTTATTGACTAATATTCAGTGTAAAGTGAATCTCTTTGGGTTTTAAAGTAGTCAGACGAAAAAGACACGTGATTAAATGACCTTGTGCACCGAAAAACTGCAGTAGTCGTTTTTTCAGAGCTTTCAGGTCGATGTACTTCAAGAAAAATTTAGATTATAATTAAAGTCTGCAGATAAATAAATAATTTCAGTCAGATTAATGAACTAAGTGTGCAGATCAAAATCCATATGAGACATCTGACCAGAAATCTTACTTATTTAAGCCAATTCTTACCTTGAATATAGATTTATTTCTTTTTTAAATAGTGGCCATAATTTAGAAGATTATTAATATTAATAATCTTGCCACGTGCATTCAAAAAATTCTGCCCAAACTTCTAACTTTCACTATTTTAATTGCATGTAAATTTTCCATGTAATTTTGTACCATGTTATATTTAATGGAATCTGTTCAAATGAAATCTGCTCGAATGGTGTAGATTCGGTTTAAACCGAGCACGTTTTCTTTAATATATATCAACCATTAATTTTATATATCTCAATTTACTCAGAATTATTGCTTCGTGTTTATTGAGGGTGATCTATCATTTTATATCAGATATAACTAAAAAGCCCATTCCCTTCTGAAAAAGTGATAAATACCTGGTCACTCACACATATTATTTCTTTATTATATTTATTATCTCTCTAGGACATTTCTCTAACCTGGACTTTTTAAAAAAAATGAAAGTCATTTGAAGCTCATGCGGGCGCCGAATGATCCATTAGAAAACTGTCTACATTTTGATGATTGTGCAAAGAAAGCCTTCCGATGAAGGGACGGACAGTATGTATGGTGCACTTTGAGCGGTAACGAGAACCGGGCGAGCCAAATATAACCAATCACAGCAGAGCGGCCCTCCCAATGCCTAACAACCTAGCAACCAATTAAAATGCAGCATTCTTCCGCCTGTTTAAAAATATCCTCTGTGGACCCGCCCCTCCCTGCTGTGTGCACTTCCTCGTTGTTATCCCCGTTACTAGGGTGACCGCTAAGCTCTGTCAGTGGTTGGTGGAGACCGTGTGACATAAGAGCGTTATCGGGAATTCCTCTCCCCTCGGGGCTCCGTGTGACGGCAAAAGGAGGTAGCTTCAGTTAATGCCGGGAGAACGCAGCACGCATTTCATACACGTGAGGCGCTAAAGTTTCCCATGTTTCCTAAACGTGTATTCATCCGAGCGCAGCTCCGCAGATGAGGAAGATGTGTCTGTGCGGAGTTTAGACTTTAATGAAATGACAAAAGTTAGAGAAGAGATACCATGGTCGTTAGAATCTTCTTCTTCTCTGGTTCTTGCTTATAGGCACAACATCTGAGATCTGTACTGACCTGACCAAGGAGGACTTAAAAGTAAGTGTCACAGTGAAAACATAAATTAATCCCTCTGTTTCCACACCAGTAACAGGAACATATGATCTTCTGCGGGATCTCTATAATTAAATGCCTGTTTAGAGGGAGGCTGCGTTTTAAAAGTATTGATTTTTGATAAAGTCATCAAGGAATTTAAGGGCAAAGCGTGTAAGTGTGTCTATCCTAATATCAGACATTATGTTTACCGTAACTCCAGTTATTAACTTCTCTGCCTCTAATTTCTACTTTTCTTTGTGCCTTTGCTACTTTTTAGTTGATATGTGAACTTTATGTGTTTATGTTTTGGTAAAATGAAAGCTGCAAAATGACTTCTCTCATGCATGTTTATGATTTTGTTGTCCCAGCTGAAACCTGACTAACAAGTTAAACAACTATCCAGCATATTTAGTCTGAACCTTCTTTGTTTTGCTCCAGGAGCTCTTTGAATGCAGGCTGCAAAGGTTTATATTTTAAACTAAAAGCGTGCAGCCTTTCCCCTAAAGAGAGCTTTGAAACTTCACAGCCATATGACAAACTTCACATGACTGGGGCATGGAGGACTTTTTTTTTCTGTTTTTCCTGAACTCAGAGTTAGGTTCACATCATACTTTTACATTAGGAGTTACAACATGTTGTTACTTTTTGTTATGCAACTCTGTTATGCACCTTCGGTATGCACTGTATCGAATCTCACTATCTACCACGGTCTCTGGTGAGTCTCTTGACACAGGTCAAGCTGACCTTGTCATGGAGGTTTGCCATACAAGGGATCAGTGACGGTGTGTGGACACACCGACAGCTCAGATGTCTGTTCCCGAGCTCCTGGGGCTGCTGGCAGGTTGTCTTTAAATAGATAAGCACTTTAGTTGTACACCAGAGAGGGGCTGTGACCTATGAGCAAGGTGATTCTCGAGCCTATCTGTGTCTCAGGGGACGATTCAGCAAAACACTCACCATATGTTATAAGCCATAAGGAAACTCCAGAGGTTTTGATAATGCTATAATCAAGCAAAACTGCTAACAAAATCCTCAAACATTAACATATGTTATATCCTCCTGAGATTTATATGGAAAAAAGGTATTTTGATTTTTTCCATATAAATCAAGTATTGGGTTGGTAAAAAACACATTGCAAAAACAATTTTCTTTTTAACTAATTTTATTAAAATGTTACAACATGTGCACTACAGTGCACAAGGAGAGTTCATTGATCACGAATGTGAAACTAACAAAATTCAGTCCTTTTCTTGATTTCTAGAGAGAACTCTTCATCACTGGTATTATTCAGGTCTTGTTCATATATTTGTCCCTGTTCATCATACAGACCTTTGTTGGCCTGGGCAGATTGAGGCAACCTTGAAGGACTCTCTTTAGAAGTGGTCTGACTTTCCCCAGGAGATCCTTTTTTTTCTCATTTTCTGGCAGCTCATCGACTACTTTCAGCGAAGACCTGATCTTGTAGAAATGACCACATGTCATGGAATCAGCCATAACTGCGACTCTTATTTTGGCAGCCCAGTACATTGGCATGGTACACTGAGATTCCTAAAAAGCTATTGGTTTCTTCTGGTGTTGTGTTTTGCAGTCTGAAATATTGAAAATTGACGATATAGTGAAATTCCAAACAGCACAAATTCTATTCAAAGCAAAAAATAAAGAACTGCCAGGTAATATTCAGAGTATGTTTTTTTTGAAAGAAGGAAGTTATAATTTAAGGGGTTTTTGTAACTTCAAAACAATGAAGGTACGTACTACAAGAAAAGGCTTTTGTGTTTCTGTTCAAGGAGTGAAACTATGGAACAAACTGAATATGGAATTAAAGCAATGTCCAAACATAAAACTGTTCAAAAAGAGTTATAAAAATATGATCTTCTCGATCTATAAAGAAAAGGAAAATATTTAAATTAAGTGAATGTCTCTATTTAAAAACAAACAAACAAAAAATTCATGATGTGATATTATAGTATATAGTATATCAGAAATCTGTTCACTATTTTTATTACAAATTATATCAGTAAGGAAGCTGACTAAATATTCACTGATAATTTATGGGACAGGGGTGGGATTAAATAAGTGTATACTTCTTCCCACTCCCTTTCAACATGTAAATTAATCAGAATGTTTTTTTGTATGTAATTTGTATAGTATTTTTTTTTCTCTCATTTCTTTTCTAAATGTACTTGTATATTGTTCACATGTTGAAATAAATTACCAATCAATCAATCAAAAAACGACACCCTGAATCCTGTACCATACGCTGGTTGGTCAACAAGGACAAGTCCTGAATTAGTTTTACTGCTGGAAATACTGCTGTGGGCTCCAGTCATTAAGTGTCATTAGGGTACCATCATCTCCAATTCTGCATTCTTCCAACAAAGTCATAAACCGAAGATAATGGAAAATTATTTAGCAAAATAAAATTTAGATACTCCAATATCCGATATAGTTCACTTACAACACATTTACACCATCTTTATAAGTTAAATCAATTTACTGGAAGACATTTCTGCACGTTACCCGTACTTTTTTCACTCAAAATCAAAAATTCCTGATTCTCCTACATGCTGGTGTTGGACCAGATAGGATGACGGCAGATTCCAGCTGACCCTGTGTCGTTCTCCATTACATCCGCCACTGCATCTTGATAATGTTTGTCTGGCTCCTCCTGGGTTTTCACCCTCTCCTATTTGGCTCATATGACTCTCATCTTCTGAAAGATCTATGTCTGAATCTCCCTCAATGATTGTGTTAAGAATTCTTTCTTCAAAGAGTTGTCTACTAGAAAAAAGTGAAATAAATTTAAGTACAAAGTCCTGACGAGCACCAGAGTACACATTAATAAATGAGTCATTTCCTCTGTGAAACTAAATAAGCTTAGGTCTGAAAACCCCCTCAAATTACTTACTAGATGTTTGTTTTTGAAAATTAATCATAATCTGAGTTTAAAAACATATTTTAAATGTAGATATCATGCTTACATGTGACATCATTTTAAAGCTACTGTTGTCCTCTAAGAAACATCAGGACTCAGCAGAGTGGCATGTAGAGTGTGAGTGATGCAAGCAAAAACTAAATGTGTACTACAGTGCACAAAAATGAATTACTGTGTCTGGAGATATTATATAACAATGTTTGGGGGTTTTGTACTATTGATCAGTTACTGTGTAACAACTTGGTGTAAATAAATAGAAATATTTGTACAATGGCTTTCACAATGCTCTTTTCTCCTCAGAGGGCCCAACATGTTCCCTGGTGCACTGGAAGCAGCCGAGTGTGTAGCGGGTCTGTCACTGCCCTCTCTGCAACCGCTGCCAGAACTGGAGGAAGAGGAAGCAGAGGCTTCATTGGAGAGGGGGCCAAAGAGGCCAGGACGCTACAGGAAAAGCCTTCAGCTTTTAAAGCCCTTCAGGATAAGGCACAAGTAAACAAAATCGACTTTAATTGTATTTGATGACTCTGGTAGCGAGAGAGATGAATGAGAACATAAAGGCAGAGACGGTTTTAAGCTCCTACAGTGTGAAGATGTTGTTGTATGTTGAAGTGTGAAGATACACACAGACTCTGGAGTACACATTTGCTCTGTTTGGCCCCTCCCTAATGTGCTGACTATTCGGGTGTAGCCTGAGGCCATGATAAGGGCTTGCAACATATCCTCCAGCAGCACAGTGCCATGTCTGAGCATATACCCACTGATAACCCCCCCCACACACACACACACACAACTTCTTTTTCTTTTCACTGCACTCTTAGATTTCTGTGAAGAGCGTGTAAATTACTATCCAAACACAGCCGGCATGATTCACCTTTCATTGACTCTGGCGAGTCAAAGGCGCCGATTATTTCTCAGAAAACCTATGTCTGTCTGTTCCCCCAGCATAGCGCCTCTGTGTGTGTACCTGTGCTTTTATACATCTCACCTATTTCCACGTCTTCCACTCTATTCCAGGCACCAGCATCCAGTCGATAATGCTGGCCTCTTCTCATTTATGACTCTGCACTGGCTCTCGCCGCTGGCAGTGAAAGCCTACAAGGCGTCCAGCTTGTCTATAGATGATGTGTGGGGACTGTCTTGCCACGAAGCCTCTGCAGTCAACTGCCAAAGGTGAGGTAATTGTGCCAAAGCTGAGGTTTGCCTGATGAAAGGGACCTGCGGTGTTAGGAAGAGTCTATTTATTGTTGAAACACAGTATTCCCACAATACTGGAACCTGGTGAGGCATGAAATAAAAAGGTGAGGTGGGAGTTATTTGACGGTGTTAGATTTTACGTTTTCTTTATAACAGAGAAATTTAATATATGGGAACTGTCCCCTCTTTAAAAAAAAGGGACTTTTGAGTGAAACCACAAAGCAAAACTATAATATGCTGTTTACACAGACACTGCATGTTGTATAACATATTAATATTGAGTTTTGATGAGCCAAACTGTTTCTTCTACTTTCTTTCTTTACAGTCAACAATCTGGGAATTATTTTAAATCAGTCATCTGTGTAGCATAGCACTGCGGTAAATACAGGCTAGTATATCTAGCTGGCTGTATTTACCCAGCATCAAATGTGCTGTTCACTCCTTTATGAAACAGCATTTACTAAAATTTGCAGCGTCATTGCACAAAATTATAGCCTTATTCAAGATTTATGTCGTCATTAACAAAGAGAGTGAGAATGAGGGTCACAGACAGAGTGTTGGAAACTACTGAAGAACAAACTCCTGTTAAATGGATCTGCCATTTTCTTTTTCTTCATCTTTTCTTCTTCTTTGTATTATTATTAACATCCAAGACTACATATGCAACATATATACAAAGGAAAAAAGAAACAAGAGAAACAACTTTGACCAAGCAGGAAGGTTTCGACTGGTCAGTACAATTTAGTTATAGATGTTCAAAAACAATACCAGGTCTACAGGGCGTCACAGAGCTGACCAATATTTCCCAGTGTAAAACAAATTGTTCAGATGTATAACTGAGAAATGCTTGTCCAGTTTATCAATGAACATTGTGATTTCCATTCATATATTAGATGTTGGGCTCTCCTTCCTAGTCTTTCTACCAGCCACCAGTAGTTTCATTAAGTTCTTATTATCTCTTTTATCTAGTCTAGAGGTGTATACCCAAAATATATAGACTTGCTCGTTAGAGGAATTTTTCAATTAAAGTGTCTTTTATCCCCCTTCAATAGTCTTTAATAACAAGATGATGAAAAGACACGGTAGTACTTTAGAGATAGCTGATAGTAGTTGACAGGGAGGTTAGCCCTCTTAAGCCTGAGATTTCTGAGAGGGTGAAATAAAAAATCTTGTCAAATTCTTCCAACAAAACCTAACCCGTTTATCTTTTTTTGTTATTTATGTTAACATTTATTTATGTTAACATAAATACGACTTATTAACACTTATTCATGTTATTCTGATATTGTTCCACAAGTTGTAGATGTGATATTTTTTATTTTTTGTAGACTGTGAAACTTTGCCTGTCTTTGCTTTTATGAAACGGCCTCTCTAAGATGCTCTTTGTATAACCAGTCGTGTTATTGAGCCTTCTCTTTTTAGCGCCACTTACTCTTCTAAGCTTTTGTTGACCCCTCCCCGACTCTTTTGAGACGTGCTGCTGCCGTCGAATTCAAAATAAGCTAATACTTTTTTGTGAATTGGCACATTTTCTCAGTTCAAGTAGTTGATATGTTCCCTACAACCAGCTGCAAATAAAATATGGATTCATGAGATTTGCAAATGGCTGCATTATAGGTTGATACATATGCACAAAACTACAGTTTTAGTAGCCTAACCTATAGCATAGATTAACTGGATGGTCTGTAAAATGGATTTCAAAAGGCACCGGTACCACAAGGACAGTCGAGAGGGCACAGACATAAATGAACCCAAATGAAGCCTGGCAGGCAGCCTGAACAGCCCCTTTTTGGCACTAACATCGGCCCTGTCTCTCAACAAGAAATGAATAACAGAGTTACCCTTTTTTTTTTTGGTTCGGTGTAACAACATTAATTTATACAGTTTTTTCGAGGGGAACTCTGTTGACTTCCATTTTCAGCCCTTGTAGTTGTTGCTTGGTTTCTTTATAAGTGTTGAGTAATGCCAGTGTCATCATTTTAAGTAACATGCAGTCAGCTCACTGCACATGACTGGCATCTTCATTATATGCTCTGATGCTTTAGCTGAAGGAGTGAAAATGAAGTTACTAATTTTCAAATATTCAAATTGCTAATTAACATCTAGTGAAGTTGTGGAGGAGAGTTGCTAATCCATTCTTGGTTAAAATGTGCTTCGGTCACTTGTACAAGTAGATTCTCTTTGTGCTGCAACCCTGAGCTGAGATTGTGTTATTTGTCCAGAGTATCCTGTGGAGCTTGCTGTTTGAGGATGAATTCCACTGATATGATATGTAACTGTACAAGCCTGTTTCAGTCTCGTGGGACAGGGTTGTCTTTTTAAAATAAATATCGAGAAAGCCCTTTTGTTAAACCTAGTGAGATTAATTGTGACGAAAACGGAAAATGCAAGTTCACGTTTCATTCAGTGTTATTAGTCAGGGTTTTTGGAGTGATACAGCTGTTATGCTGTCGTTTTAGTATTCATAATTATGTACCGTTTTGTGTGTTTGTGCAGCACATAGTTAAGCTATACCTTGAGACTTAACTGATGAACATCCTGTGTCTGTTTACAATACAGGAACGATGTGATGGGATAAAGGCAGGGGAGTGTTGCTAAGAAAGGCTGGGATTACAGATTACCGTGAGAATTTGTGCCTCTCTTAGACAATAATGGCATTAAGTGTGTACCTGCAATGCACAGTGTCTCCCTGTCTCATCCATTAGCTGTCACTGACAGGAGCCGGGCTGGGGCAGACCGTGAGATAAAAGGCCAAGCTACAGCTTGGGAAATGCCTCGTAAAGACGCTCTGATTCTATGAATGAACTTAAATGTTTTACATTAAGCTTATTATTTGTGCTACTCAGGGAAAGTAAAACCAGTGTTTTTTTCCATTGCTGCTATGACTCAGCAGTAAAAAGGAGAGCGACTATTTGAGGAAGTTCACTCTTGTATCTGGTGACAACTGCGTAGGTTGCCAGTAATGCTTGTTCTGTTTAAAGATCGTGGCTCAGGGCTGAGAGTTTTTGTGCTGCTTTGTGTATGTTAAAAAGAAGCAGACACAGGAAGCAGCAAAAGAGCACAAAGCCACTGGGTGGGTGTCTGTCACAGTTTACATAGCAAGAACATTTACAGAATGGAGATGCAAAAGCACAGCACGGGAAATTGGAAAGGCGCCCTGGGAGAGTTGACACTTGTTGGTTGCTCAGTGAGGTGCGAACCTTGAATGCTGTGTGCTGTTCAAACACACTCCTGCAACATCAGCTTTGCGTGCCATCTGGCATGCTGAAACGATGGCTGTCAGGGACATTTCACTCCTGTTCGAAAGCAAATAATTCCTGCTTTACAGCCCGCACTGTTGCCCCGCTGTTCTCCTTTTCATTTATATGTAGGTACATGTACGCACATGAGATCTAATATGGTATTTCTAAATACACATGACTTTGGATTTGTGCGATCAGAAGTTTGCATGTGCTCATCGTGCATATAAATATGATGGCAGCTGTTTAGAAATGGCTCAGAGAGACCTCCCCCGCTCGTGTAAATCTACAATTTCCCTTCATAGATCTTGACTGAGTTCCTTGGACTTTCTCATTGTTTTGAATATTGGCCAGTCCTGTCACACAAATGCTATGTATGTGCACATTTTAGCCTGTATGTATACTTTTGTCCCCGTGTGGATTAAATCCATTATAAATTCATACTTGTGCAACCAGTTCTTGCTTTCTAAAGTAATGCTTTAAAATCGTTCCACCGTGGAAAAAGAACAGTTCAAACTCATTAAAATCATTAAAACTCCCAAATTATCTGTAATCTTCTGACCGCAGTTGTATATTCATTTTGGACAGTAATGGGGGGGTGCTTAAAAAAATCTCTTCCAGTTTAATTTGCTATTCCTCGCTTGGTTCTTTGATTGGATTTAGGAACACTAGTCTAACTTTCTGTGAATCAAACTGTGTCTCTGCAGCATTTGGAGTGCAAATAATTGCAATTCCTTAGATTTAGCACCATTTGACTTCAAGTAGCAATTACCAGGCCGTGCAAGAGTGTAGCGGGTATAATGTTGTGTCTATCTCTGATACGTTTTTAATAAAGTCGTTAGGGCGTTAATTACTTTCTGCAGCTGCTCGACTGCTGCTTTATAGAGTCATTAGCCGTGATGCATTTGGCCAACAAGATATTTACCCACTTCAAATGGCATTATACAGCAATAAAAGTGCATTAGCACATCTTTAACATGTTTGGTGGTACCTTTCTCAGTGCGATTATGTGAAGCGTGATTGTATATTGTAGGTCACCTTTATACTATTATCACCCTAGCTATCTTCAGTTGTCTTTGGGGTTTTGTGATTGCATTGATTGCCTTCTATACTGTTTTTATCCTCTATTTTGGGAAGTGCTGATTTTATCCAATTAAAGAAAAAAATATCCAAGAAACTTTTGGGCTCTTTACCACCACATTGGATAGCACTGATGCGTGAACAAAGGGGAAGCCGTTAGAGAGTTATATATATTTAGTTTAGTGAGAATGGACTCATGTTTGGCTGAACTGTGCACTCCTATAGTTTGTCACTATTTGTGATCCTGGGTTTTGGTTCCAGGCTTGAACATTTGTGGCACGAGGAGCTCAAACGAAGCGGGCGAGAGGGGGCATCCCTGACAAGAGTCTTCTGGAGGTTCTGCCAAACCCGTACGCTGGTGGCCGTATTCTCCCTGCTTCTCACAATGGTGGCCGGCTTTGTTGGGGCTGTGAGTACAGTCTAAATCCTTCTTTGCCTTTTATATTTTTTTGCTGATTCAGCTAAAACGCCTTTCAGCATGGTCGCTGGCTTGGAGCCTCAAGTCCATGTATTTTCAGAAAATCACTTTATCCTGTTTCATGCTGGTCTGGAAATTGAAATGAAAACATACTGGGAGATTACAAAGCCTTAGATACTGAGAGTCATATTAATACCATAGATTAGCTGTTTTGTACCCAGTCACACTTTGGTCCAGATATGCGCAGGGCTTTTTATGTGGCACACTTGTAGCTTTAGATTCCCTGCCAAAACAGCTCTCAGATGATTGTCGCAGAACAAACTCAAAGTGTGAATATTTCTAAACATTCCTTATCAGAAAACTGAAAAGTAATGATGTTTGAAGTTCTAAGTCTGTGGCATGTCTGAATGACTTTCATTGTTCCTTTTGCTCCAAGCTGTTTCTTTTGATGTCTTATGTGCATACTGTGTGATTCCTGTACCCACAACTAATAGCATTAACTGGATTTAGTTCTTAGACAATGACGCATTTGTCGCACATTCTTATGTGATTTTTTCCTCTTTAGTGCATTTAATGACAAAGCAATGTTGTATGTATTCTTTCTACTGACTAATTTTACTTATCCAGGCAAGCAAAAATATTGCTTAAAAATGCATTTTGTCATATTTTATTTTGTCCACTTTTAATCAAGTTATATATGAAATATTTCCTGTGTTTCTGCTTGTTTTTATTCTGTGTCTCCTACGTTATCTCTGTCCTTGTTGTTCTCTGTTTTGCCACTGCCACTTTTTCTCTGTGCTTTCCTTCTTTCCTCACTCTTTCCTTCCTGTCACTCTATGTGGGCAGGCTATCCTGGTTAAATCTCTGCTGGAGTATTCCCAGAGCTCAGAGAGCTCTGTGTGGTATGGCCTGTCTCTGGCAGCCGGGCTCTTCCTCATGGAACTGATGCGCTCCTGGTCTCTGGGACTCATGTGGGGCGTCAATTACCGCACTGCAGCACGCCTCCGTGGGGCCACTCTTACCCTGGCCTTCCACAAGATCCTCCGCCTGCGCAGCACTAAAGACATCAGTCCGGGCGAGGTAGGTGTTGTAACCCTGGAGGGAACTCTTCATATTAAAGAAATCATCCCTCGCTGCAGGGCACCACATGCAGATGATTGAGATGGATTTAATTTCTGCTCTTACACCAGTCCTGCTTAGATTTCGACAAATCCCATAGCCTGAGGGAGGGGAGGCTGTCTAAGATTAGTCATTACTCAGCTTAAGAGGAATCATTGTCCATAAGTGAATGTGGGAATAAGGATAACTGTGTTCATAAAACTGTTTTTGTAGTAATATTTGGAGGAATTTTGAAGCAGTACTTTATGTAAATCACTGTCTCTCTCTACCTAGCTGATCAACATCTGCTCCAGTGATGGCCAGCGGCTCTATGAAGCAGTGTGTGTGGGCTGCCTTCTGGCTGGAGGGCCACTTGTGGGAATACTGGGTCTATCTTACACTGCATTCTTCCTGGGCCCCACGGCTCTGATGGGGTCATCCATTTTCATCATCATTTACCCTGTCATGGTACGACTTTCACTATAACATCTAACCAGAGGCAAAGAATGGAAAACATGGTTGTCTGTCTGTCATTCTTTTTAAAGTGGACCTTTTATGCTGATTTCCGGCTCCTTATTTTTTATTCCTAGACTCTGCTAGACTTGCATGAGTCACAGTTCAAAAAACTGCTTATTTATCTTGTGCTGTGCCTCGTTGCAGCACCTCTATTCCTTCTCTGTCTGAAGCAAGCTGTTTTTCTCCTTTTCTCCCATCCTCCCTGTAAGCCAACTTTTTTTTAAAGACAGAGTGGTGTGCTTTAGATGACCGTATTAGGAATATCTGCTCTCTTTGACAAACAAATCCAGCAGCAGAAGAAATTGAAATGGAGCGTTTAGGGCAGACTGAAGCTTTTTGGCTCATGTGGATTACGTGTACATAAATTGACCTGATTTAAAATTTTGGTGATGTGTAATATGAGCGTCCATCAGTATGACAGTTCATCGATATGAGAGAAAATGACGTAATAGGTCCACTTTAAGATAATGTAATTATAGCAGTTTCAAAAAGTTTTACCAAAGATTACTCAGCAGAGAGTTTATTATTGCTGATTCATTCTTAGTTGAAGACAGAAATCGTAACGTCATTAAAGTCTTTAAGTTAATTTAGATTATTGGAGAGCCAAACAGACACTTTTTAAAAGCATCATAACTCTGTGGCTATCAGTCGCCTGTCAACTTTCTAACTGTTGTTTTCAAATTACACTCAGTCTGAGCTGTAGTCTGACAGCTAGAGACCCTGCTATTGATGGGGAAGGCGTTTATCACTCTGGTCTCCGGGACAGGCCTGCAGCACAGTTAATGTGATTATGTCTGCTTTCATTTCCTCCCCCGCCACTTATTTCTCCTGTCATCATTTCCCCCGTTCCTGTCTGGACAGATGCTTGCATCGAGGTTGACGGCATATTTCCGCAAGAAGTGTGTGGCAGTCAGCGACCAGCGCGTGAGGCTGATGAACGAGATCTTGGGCTGCATAAAGTTCATCAAGATGTATTGTTGGGAAGATGCCTTTGCAAAAAACATTCGCAGTGAGTGGCAGTCATGTGACTCAGCAATATATCCAATGCTCATTTCTTGAATGTGGTGAAGACCTGGGAACTTTGTGCAGGTCAGCATTTTTGAGAATAAAGTGCCACTTCACTTGAACATCTTTTACTCATGCAAATTAGTCACTAAATGAGCGGTTTATCACCTAAAAGTAGGCTTGTCCTCGTAGCAAACTGGCATGATAACCCTGCCCCTTAATCCATTTCCATTAACCTGCCCTGTTTAAGTGTGCCATTGTCTATACTCAAAGGCACTTTCAATCCCTGCACTTCAAGATTAATTTGCAAAGTGTTTGGGGCCCTATGATACCTTAAATGGCTGTCAAGGCTGCTCTACTTATTCATGACTAAGCGATGGCCTTTTCTCATGAGGTCCTTGCTCTAGGTCATGGATAAGCATCATTTTCCCTATTTAATCTGCTCCAAATTAGCCAGCTGGGTCTCACTTTCATTGCTGTCTTGTGATTACCTGCTATAATAACAATAATTAATTGGCATTCATTGGTGAATGAGTCTTAAGAGTTACAATGTCATTCCAAATTTACAGTCAGCAATTGTGCCGATGACTCCTCCTTTGTAGTTTATGCAAGAACACACACATCCCAATGGGGAATAAGGACAATGAAGTGACTAAACGAGCCCGTGCAAACGGGATATACAAACATAGACGAGAGGGTCAGGATTCAGGAATTGGACTTGAAAAGTTTTCAAGGATCACCAGCTTTTGGAGCCCCTTTGAAGAGCGAGTCTCTTGTCCTCTCTTGTATCTATTTTTGTGTGCTTGCTATTTTGGTGAGTGACTCTGATTGTGGTGTGGATTGGCTGGCCAACACTTTCACTCGACCCTTACGTCACATTCGCATTCTTTGTGTCTGTCCTTGGTTATTTATCATCTCTGTCTTTCTGATCTCCTCGACAGAAGTGCGGTTAGAAGAGAGGAGCATACTAGAGAGGGCCGGGAACATCCAAAGCATAACAGTGGGATTGTCTCCTGTCATTATGGTGCTCGCAAGCGTCTGCACTTTCTCCTTACATATGGCCTTAGGTTATGACCTAACCGCAGCTGAGGTATTTATATATAAAAATCTACCGGTGTGTGACAAGAAAATAGGAAAAACAAATCATAAAGACAATGAATGACAATTATGCTTTGTGGTATGTAGAAAAGTACTGAGCCCGGCCCAGAGGATTCTGATTTTCACATCAAAATGGCAACAAGACAAAAAAAATCTAAGGGACATATTGGGGCACGGATGGTCCACTGGCTAAATCATTAATCAATGTTGTCCAAAACTGAAGCACTATGGTGTGGTTTTCCTATAATTTGTCACCCATCCATAGTCAGCATGTTGACTGCATATTTATTTAAATCATGTAACTTTTAAGATGCCCACCGAGTCTGTGGTCATGACGAGCACATATACACATTTTAAAGTCAAACTTCATGAATATAAATAAATTATTGAGTATAACTGTCTCCATCTCTACACATCCCACCTCAGGCTTTCACTGTGGTTGCAGTTTTCAATGCTATGACCTTTGCCCTGAGAGTCACACCACTGGCGGTGAGGTCACTATCAGAGGCTTCTGTTGCAGTCAAAAGATTTCAGGTGAGAAAGACGGACTGGTGTCTTGTAAAAGTGGATAAATGATAATGTTTCATGTAAAGAATAGTGATGTAGCTGTTGATGTCTTCATGTCTTAATAGTATTTTAAGATGTCAAGGTTGATAAAGCATACATGAACTTAATAATCCATATCACTTCTCAGAATAAGTACCTTTTTTTAGAGGTCACACACTAAATTAAACTCACATAGTGTGTCAGTGGGGAAGCAGTTTTTAGCCTATTCACGTATCACATCTGACATTTTTTGCTGTTTTCCAAACACGTGATAAATACAAAGCTAAGTAAAAAGCATTTTTTTTAAAAATATACTTTATTAATCCCCTGTAGTGAAATTACTCTCTGCATTTAACCCAATCAGTCAGTAAAGCAGTGGGCAGCCACCAATTCAGTGACTGGAGAGCAGTGTGTAGGGACGGTACCTTGCCCAGCGGTACCTCAGGGTAGCCGTTCAGTGGATTTGAACCCCCGACCTTCTGATCATTAGATTTATCCTTGGGTTTTCTGTTTTGTTTTGTTTTTATTTACAGTCGTTTCTTTATTTTTTCCGTTTTCGTAGTACTTAACCTGTTTACCACATGTAAACATGTTTTTAAAAAAGGATTAAACTCCACTTTTGTTTTTCAAGCACTAAAATATTTAAGTAACTATTAAACTGGTCATCACAATGCGTGTTGTCTATAATCTATCCCACTATGTTTGACTCCACAGAGGCTCTTCACGATGGATGACAGAGAGGAGGTTGTAGAAAAAATGGAGGATCCTGGCAACGCCGTAGAATTTCAGGTTGCCACGCTGGCTTGGGAAAAGGCAAAAGGCAAAAAGCCAAACCCGGCTCCCAAGAAGCGAGGAGTAATGAAGCATGTGCTGCGAAGGGAAAAGCTTAGCTTGTACATTTCCACAGAGGATGGCAAAGGAAACAAGGAAAACCCCAATGTGCAAAGTCTCCTCACAAATATGGAGCAGGAGAGTCCACAAAGCACCGTCTCCTCCACTCAAAGCATACGCCCCCCACTGCACAAGACCCTGCACCAAATTAACCTGCGTATAAAGAAGGTAACACCACAAACACATATCAAGTCGATTAATTATGCTTTTTCTCAGTTGTAGTCCTTCCATACATGTTACTTACAGTGGTGAATACTCATATTAAACATGACAAAAGGGTATAAAGTAAAGATCATTTTAAACAGTGATTCCTACAAGGCTACTTTGGTAGCATTAGAGAATGTTCTCTATTTTGCCACTGCTACTAGGGGTCGCTGGTTGGAATCTGTGGAGGTGTCGGGAGTGGAAAGAGCTCTCTTCTGTCTGCTCTGCTGGGACAGGTGAGATTCGAGTGAATGCTCAACTAGATGCTCACTTTAGATTTCCTCTTCAGATAACCCAGAATAACTCATGAATAACAACAAGGACAGCTTTTCTTGCTGAAGTTTTCAGTCACACACAATGTCACAGTATAACCTGCAATCTGAAAAGGACTTTTTCAACTGTTTTCTCTGCTCCCTACCTTCTGCCTTTGTGTTTTAGATGACTCTGTTAGAAGGAAAAGTTGCTGTCAGCGGTGGCTTCGCATATGTGTCCCAACAAGCCTGGATCCTAAATGATTCTCTCAAGGAAAATATCTTGTTTGGAAATAAGTATAACCCAGACAAGTAAGAATAAGTACTGTATAACCGTGTTATAAGTAAAAAAGCGCTAAACCTGCAAATTTATCCCTAACTTTGCATATTTGTTTCGACATTAGATACAGTGCAGTGCTGGAGGCGTGCTGTTTACTCCCAGACATTGCAGAGCTCCCATATGGAGACATGACAGAGGTATCTGTTGCTTCTTTTTAACAAAATGTCAGCTCCGAAAACATCGATTTCTCAAATATCATGCCCAGCAGTTTCATTTTATGCAATAAATTTAATTCAGCCTCAGCACGAGGAGAGTTTTGTGCAAAATGTATTTTTATTTTCTCTTTTTAGATTGGCGAGAGGGGTGCCAACCTGAGTGGAGGGCAGCGTCAGCGAGTGAGCCTGGCGCGTGCACTCTACAGTGAGCGGCCCATTCTTCTCCTGGATGACCCTCTCAGTGCTGTTGATGCCTGTGTGGGCTCCCATATCTTCAGTAAAGCCATTCGGGGGGCCGCTAAAGGCAAAACCATACTCTTTGTAACGCATCAGCTGCAGGTAAGTATCACCTGTGAAATTCCAATAATTTCCATCAACATCCTTTTGCAGTTTCTGCTCTTTTAGAATATTTCAGTCCTTTCTGTCGAACTGAGTCTTTCTTGCTTTTTCAACCATGAGAAATGTTGCCTCTTTGCCTCTTTCATGCATTTATCTTTTAGTATCTTCCTGAGTGCGATGTTGTTATTCTGATGAAGGACGGCCAGATTGCTGAGCACGGTACCCATGTGCAGCTAATTGGTAAAGACCGCAACTATGCCATGCTATTCAACAGCATGCAACAGGAGGTAAGGCCAGGGGCGCACGAGGAGCAAAGCCAACTCTTTTGAATAAGGCATCTTTGCCCTCACGACACAATAAAACTGAACATTACAAGCTGAATAATTCATAAGCCCAGAAAGGCAGGCCCTGTAGCAAGGAAATGTTAATGCATACAAAGGCTTTTATTATTTATGTGTGCAGTGATTTACTGGTGAGCTGCTAAAGACCATGTCACCAATATCTCTGTTTTAATAATGTCCACAATGCCATTGCTATGGCCGTTGTGATTTCTGCTGGTGACATGTGTCAAAACTCTTCCCCCACTCCCCTTTTTTACTCTCAGAATCTGGTGAAAGAGAAACTAAAAAACAAAGAGCAGAGGGTAGGTGGAAATAAGGCTGACAGTGCCACTGATGTTGCCGAGGTCAGCCCAAAGATGGAAAGCAAGAAAGGAGGTGAGAAACTCTGCCCGTTTTCATGCTTCTCATGTAAATCGCTGTTTTCCATGAGAATGGTTCATAAGTAACTTATTTTCTGGCTTTTATATTTAGAACCATTGATGAAAGCTGAAGAGAAAGGCTCTGGTTCAGTCCCGTGGTCTGTTTACGGAGCCTACATCAAAGCAGCGGGAGGCCCAGTAGTCTTCGTCATCAACATCTTCTTCTTTGTTTCCACCACAGGCAGCCTAGCTTTCAGTAACTGGTGGCTGAGCCACTGGATCAGACAGGGCAGCGGGGTGAGTGTAGATGACTCTAGTTTTCTATAATACAGGATTCTCAGTGGTGTGTGTTTGACTCCCAAAAGAAAAATAACTACTGTGTTTGGATGAGTGTGGCAGCCGACTGAGCATTAATCTGGATGTGCATGATTAAAAAAGTAACAGCACCTTGGTAAACTTAATTAAAAACAAGAGTGAGCAGTAAAGAAACAGATGTGCAGCTAAGCAGTTGGTGGCTGCTGTTGAGAAATGTGCTTGGAATGGCAAACACCACCCAACAGACTGATTTTCATGCCTTTTTTTTGTGATCCAAAGTGTGCTTTTCTCAATTTCATTAGAGACCAAATGGGGAAAGAAAGATTTTTTTTGTCAGCCTGTAATTTGTTGCTCCATCTGCCCTCAGAACACATCATTAATCTCGGTGAATGAAACAATAGCGAGCAACAGCATGAGACTCAACCCTCATATTCGGTACTATTCAACTGTTTACATCATCTCCATGGGAGCTGTGTTGTTGCTGAAGACAATCAGAGGGTTGGTGTTTGTGAAGGTAAGCCCCTTTCTTTCACGTTTGTCCTCTTAACCACTGATGAACTTTAAAATTGAGTAGAATGTGTACCTTATATCCAGACAGCGCTCCTGCTTGAACGTCTACACTGTCATTTGTTCATGCTCTTATGGATCCAGTGCTTGCAGGACAAGTCAGTTTATCTGTCCACTGTCCTGTCTCACAACTCATACAGTGGCTGCATGCATATCAGTCTGTTTCTTTATGAGAAACGGAGACAAAGAAGCAGAGAGAAAGAGCGTGTGAGTGTGCGTCTGTGTGTGTGCGTGCACGCTCGTGTATTTCAGCATCCCCTCGAGTGTGCATCCTCGTTTTCAAGCTAACCCATCCTGACACTGCACTGCAGAGGTTAGATCCCCACGTTAATATGTGCCACTTAAAATTGCTAATTTTTCAAAGATGGCTAATCTTTTTTTTACCTCTAGCTGTGATGAGATCTTTGTGAGTGTTAAATATTCCATTAATAGAATTAATTTGTTCTCTGCTGCCACATGTAATTTCTGTCCAATTGTTGAAATGTCTCATGCGCAGTAGGTCATGACCTTTTATGTCAGCCTCCCGGAAACTCATCATAAATGAAGATTTGACAGCACTACTCTGTGCATGACAGCTACCCACCACTGTGCACATGCATAGCATATGTAGCATTTATAACACTCGGGCAACATATGTGTTCCACTGTACCCGCTGTGCTTTGAGGTTTAAAACTGTGTCGACTAACAGACAATTTCACTCCAACTGTCTGTTTATCCAAGCAATGAATGTGTCCATACGGTTGTTGTTTACACGTGTCAGGTCTCGTGTTCAAGCACAACATGTGTTGTCTGTGTTGACAGTGCACCGTGAAGGCTGCCTCCGTGCTCCACGACAAGCTGTTCAGCCGGATCCTCCATTGCCCTATGCACTTTTTTGATACAACACCTCTGGGTCGTATCCTGACCCGCTTCTCTAGGGACATGGACGAGGGTGAGTCTTGATTTGTCTTGACTGTGAACCTTTCCCCCAGGAGACCTTTCAGTCAGTGAAGTCACCCTGGTTGACAAGGTGTAGTGCAAAGACACAGTGTGATTTGACATGGAGCGTTTTCCCTAGTGAGTGGCTCTCTGTTATGCACTTCACTGGTGTCTTTGCTTGACATGTTGATTTGTGAGCTGTTGTTTCTTTGGGTGGTTGGGTTTAATATTTTCGCAGACTCTGCTGTTTTTTTGCCGCTCATAGATTTTCCCCTGACAAAAGACACTTAGTGGGACCTAGAGAGACTCTACACAGTGCATCTGATGTACTTTATCTCCACAGTGGATGTGCGTCTCACCATGCAAGCTGAGATGCTCCTGCAGAACCTGTCCCTGGTGCTGCTTTGCTTGGGAATGGTGGGCATTGTCTTCCCCTGGTTCCTCCTTTCAGTCCTGCCTCTGGGAGGCTTTCTCTACATTGTCAATCGTCTTTCCAGGTCAGACATTCAACACTCTCGTCCTAATCTTGGCTTTTGTTATTTTTTCCAAGACTATAATGCAGACAATGTACAATGGTCAGCTCCATACTGTGAAATTGCTCCATACAGACAAAATGACTTAAGCTTTTTATGAAAAGCAATAAATTTCACTGTAACTAATATTGAACCCCAAGTACCCCATGATGCATCCATCTGGGTTTGGATAAATGCGTGACGATTAACAATGTGTCTGTGAATGCAGTTGTGATCATGGCTTTGAAACTCAACTTGGGATTCAGCGTTGACTAGCTAACTTGATAGATAGTTAGGTTTATAACATGAGTTAACTAGTAGAACAGCTTGGGAGCACAGTGGTGCATTGGCTGCCAAGCAAGAAGATTCTCTGCTTGTCATTTTAATTCGTCATTCTAAAGTGGCTGTCGGCGTAACCTCTCACCCAGTATCTGGTGTATGCTTCCATGGATGAATGAAGTGTGCCAACATGATTGAGCTGAGCCAAGGGTAAAGAGCCTTCATGTGACTTTATTTTAGTCTAAAACTTAAAAAATCAAGAGTAAAACCTCTATAATTTATCCAGTTTTTAGTAAAAGAGCTGTTTTCTATGATAGATATGGACATAATGGAAATTCTGAAAATTCAAGTAGCTAATACTGTATGGTCCCTCAAATTATTGACCCCAGAATATCCACTTTTGAAAGATTGTATCAACTATGTGCTAAAAGTGTGATTTGTGTACACTAAAAACATGCTCCACATGCAGGCATACCAAGAGTCATGATCACACAGTTTCTCCATTTTTCCTGCCTTCATAAGTTTACAAAAGTTACGGGTCCGCTAGTCTCTTGGTGGTTCATCCCACCACACAGATGCTTAAAGTCTTTTTTTTTTCAAAGCAAGCGTAACTGACAAGGAGATACCGTCATGCAATGCAAAGTAATTGGAGAGCAGTAAGTTGCTTTCCCCTATGAGTTGTATTTTTAACTGACAGCTGCCTCTTATTTTCTCTACATGGAGTTGATAAGAGTGAAGTGCATGCAGTAAAGGTGAGGCTTAACACACAGAGCTAACACAGGCAAAAAGCCCACCGTAGATCGTCAAAGTTAGGGTGATAAGTCACTCACTAATCAGAACACCTGCATTTTTGTTTTCTTTTGTTTAGTTCTCATCTCGTTTAGTTCTGGTCCACATATTGAAACAATACCCTTCATTTTTAGTGTCTCTCATTTTAAAATTCAAAGTTTTAAGAGAGACACTTTTCTAAAGTCCAGCCTTTATCTGACAGCCAATTTTAGTACAAGATGGCGCCAGTATGTTCGGCTCGCCGTCACTCCTCCTCCTGTTTTTTGGTTTTTTGTTTGCTGTTCTTTGCCTTAACTGTGGAAATCAACTCGCTCCGGACTTATGACCGGCAAACTCTCTTTATTATTCGAGACTCAGCAGTGTCAGCACCTTTGTCCTCTGTCTTTGATGGACAAACAAGCGGTGTGCCTCCACTGTTCGATGGTATTCCACCTTACCTACGTCGCACCTGGTTCCTCCCTCCCAAGCTACACCGGAAAAAACGTTGGAGAAGACGAGGGAAGCGAAGTGGTCTCCTGGCTCGCACAAAGGCATTTCTATCACTCTCCTGCCTGGCTGATCCTCCCTCGCTCAGATGGGTTTCTGCTACTCTGCTGCGGTGAGGGGCTCACTCCAGCCCAGAGGACCCTGGGTGAAAACCGTCTCTCAAACTCCGCCTGCTGTTGCTCCGGCTTTACCGGTAGGCCCGCTTCTTGGCCCGCGCCTCCCTCGGTCATCTGGCTCACTCCTCGCCATGCCGGCGGCGGCGTTCTCCTCTGGTAGGCGACTCTCTGCCATCTCCGGCCCACGCCTGGTGTTTGCTCCCTTCCTGCGTGACTCTCCGGGTCCGTCGCTCGCTGTTTCCGCTCCGGGTCCTCGGTCATCGGCTCTCCTACAGCCACGGATCCGCAGATTTGGTGCTACAAACTCTAACCTACGCCCACTCACCCGCATATCAACCCCGATGACAGCTACTGATCTCACCTTATCTATGGCTTTGATCAACACTCGATCCCTCTCCAATAAGACGTTTCTGCTCAAGGATTTTTTCTCTTCTTACGACTTGGATTTTATGTTCCTGACGGAGACCTGGTTACGCGCTGGTGAGACTGTGGCTTTCTCTGAGCTTCTTCCTCCAGGCTGTTGTTTTTTAAACACTCCCAGGTCCTCTGGCAAAGGCGGAGGCCTCGCCTGTGTTTTTAAATCTGTTTATGACTGCCATCAGATTTCTTTTTCCTCTTTTTCCAGCTTTGAACTACAGCTTTTTAAACTAAACTCATCCACTCCGTTACTGATTGCAGTGGTATATCGTCCTCCCAAATTTAACAAGGACTTTATCAGTGAGTTTGGGGAATTCCTTTCAGGGCTTTCAGTAGATTTCGATCATTTTCTTATTGTTGGTGACCTGAATATTCATGTGTGCTGTCCATCTAAACCCCTGGTTAGAGACTTTGTTTCACTGTTGGACTCCTTCAACCTTACTCAGTGTGTGTCTGGCTCCACACATGAGAAGGGTCACACTTTGGACCTTGTCATGTCTCACGGCTTGGGTATCCACATCTCTGAAATTTGTGAGAGTGCGTGTATCTCCGATCATTTTCCTGTTCTATTTTCTGCCACTGCACATTGTTCTGATGCTGCAGTTAAACCTCCCTCACGCCGTCACCGGATCATCAATACCCATGTACCATCTCAGTTTTCTGCTGCTTTTAGCAACTCTGAGCTCTCCACGGTGGACTGGATTGATTCCTTGTGTGCAGAAGATTTAACTGCTCTTTTCAACTCAACATGTACTTCTATTTTGGACCTCATCGCTCCCCTAAAAACACTCCGTCCCAAAGCTCACGCTGAACCCTGGATTACAGACTCTGTTAGTGCTCTCAGGCGCACCTGTAGGTGTGCTGAGAGAAAATGGAAAAAGGACAAGCTGCACATTTCTTTTAATATCCTCAGAGACTCTCTTTCAACCTATCAGAAAGCCGTTAAAGAGGCCAAGTCCTCCTACATATCAAACCTGGTTAGCAGTAGTGTCCATAAACCTCAGACTCTGTTTCGTGTTTTAAATTCCATTGTAAATCCTTACACATCCACCAGCCTCACACCTTCTGCCACCCTCTGTAATGACTTTCTAAAGTTCTTTGTAAACAAGATTTCCTCCCTGCAGTCTGTCATTCCATCTCCACCTTCCAATCCCTGTGTTTTGTCTTTGTGCCATTCTGCCTTTAATCAGTTCGAACCAATCTCTCTCTCTCAGCTGCATGAAATAGTCTGCAAGGTTAAGACTACCAACTGTTCCACCGATGCTATCCCCTCTCGGCTTCTGAAGCAGGTTCTGGACTCAGTCGGACCTTTCCTTCTGGTCCTGATCAATGCCTGCCTCAGTTCTGGTTGTTTTCCAACACCCTTCAAGCACGCTGTTGTTCAACCTCTCCTTAAAAAGCCTAATCTAGATCCATCCCTACTCTCTAACTATAGGCCCATTTCCAACCTCCCTTTTCTGTCTAAAGTACTGGAACGAGCCGCCCTCACGCAGCTCCAGCTATTTCTTGACAATAACAATCTCTATGAGAAGTTCCAGTCTGGTTTTAGAGCTCGACATAGCACAGAAACCGCCCTTCTGAGAGTTTTTAATGATTTGCTTTTAACTGTTGACTCTGGTTGTGCTGCTGTCTTAGTAACCCTGGACCTGACAGCAGCCTTCGACACTGTAGATCACAACATACTGCTAGCCCGCCTTCAACATTGTGTCGGTTTAAAGGGCACTGTCTTAAAGTTTTTCCAGTCCTATTTGAATAATAGGAGTTTTTCTGTTCACCTTGGTGAACTGTCATCTCCCAGAGCTCCTTTAACCTGTGGCGTACCTCAGGGGTCCATACTAGGCCCCCTGTTGTTTATTCTGTACTTGCTCCCTCTGGGCGATGTGCTCCGTAAACATAATGTGTCCTTCCACATCTTTGCCGATGATATTCAGATCTACCTCCCTCTGAGGTTGAACTGCAATGTTTCTTTGCAGCCACTACTCTCCTGCTTGTCTGACATTAAGACTTGGATGACTCTTAACTTCTTACACCTTAATGAAAGCAAAACTGAAGTCATTGTGTTTGGGCTTCCTAAAGATCCCAACTTCTCTCTTGACTTTTTGGGACCCCTAACCTCCGATTGCACTTCTTCCATTAAGAGTCTTGGAGTTATTTTTGACAATGCTTTTAAACTTGATAAACAAATCAGCTCTGTAGTTAAGGGATCTTTTTATCATTTGCGGATTTTAGCCAAAGTCAAGTCTTACCTTTGCAGGAACGATCTAGAAAGAGTGGTCCATGCTTTTATTACTTCACGGCTGGACTACTGCAATTCCCTCTATGCTGGCCTAGATCGTTCCTGTCTACATCGCCTTCAACTGGTGCAGAACGCTGCCGCTCGCCTGTTGACCGGTTCAAAAAAAAGAGACCACATCACTCCGGTTCTCTGCTCTCTCCACTGGCTCCCAGTTGCCTTTAGGATTGATTTTAAAATCTTATTGCTGGCTTTTAAGGTTTTAAATGGCACTGCACCTTCTTACCTGTCAGAACTCCTTAGTACTTATCGCCCCAGGAGATCTTTGAGGTCAGCCGACCTGATGCTTTTAGATGTTCCCAGGTATAAATTAAAGACAAAGGGAGAGAGGGCGTTTGCTGTGGCTGCACCCAGACTGTGGAACAGTTTACCTCCTCACGTCAGATTCTCCAAAAGCCTAGAAACTTTTAAAACCGCTCTTAAAACTCACCTCTTTTCATTGGCTTTTAGAAAGGTTTAATTTATTTGTTTTATATATTTTTATTTTATTTTTATCAGCGAGGTGTTATTACAAAATTGTGTTCTATTGTATTTTTATCTGTATTTACTGTACAGCACTTTGGTCAGCCTTGGTTGTTTTTAAATGTGCTCTATAAATAAACTTGACTTGACTTGACTTGACTTGACAGCAGTGAAGAAAGCAAAGTTAAGCAGATTTTCTTTAAGCCTGATGGATGCTTCGATAAAGAAAATTAAATCCAGCTATAACAAGGACTGAGAAATTACTTGAGAATGGAGGAAAGCTGGTGATTCTCAAAGCCTTTTGGCTCTTTTCCTGTTTTGTTTTACTTTTCCCATTTTTGCACTGAGGGAATATGACACAGTGCACAAAGTTTAGGTTAGATATATCAAAATTTAAGACTTGCTCTTAGCATTTGTCATGTGGCTCAAGTTCTTGTACACAAACATACTCTTTGCCTTACGCTTAGTTTAGTCAGTTTGGATCTAATCACCCCAGTGGGGACCAAATATTGGAATGTTACTATACTTGTGGGGACCAGCAGACTTTATGGGGACAATATCCCATCCCTATGAATTTGAAGGCATTTGTGAGACTCAAAATGTGGTTTTAGTGTCAGGGTTACAATCAGGTTAGGGTTAGGCATTCATTTTTGATGGTTAGGGTTAGGGTGAGCCTTTAGGGAAAGCATTATGTCAATTAGATGTCCCCACTAAGATATGAAAACAGACCTGTGTGTGTGTTTGTTTGTTCCTTTTTAAAATGAGGCCATGCAGAGCTGGCAGATTGTGGGTTGCAGCTTTCTTGAGAACTGCTCATCAAAACATCACGAGTGACTGAAGTAAAACCAAAAATACATGAAAATAAATCAAACTGTCTACTCTTCTGTGTGTGAAATAGTTTGAAATTTAGACCCTTAGAGTGATGACATTTTGTAAAAGCTACATGTCTCTGTCATGTCTCCTTTTCAAAGGCCTTTTCAAAGACTTCAAAGGCCTCTTTGAGGCTTAAACGATTGAATAAGTTTTAGTTTTCTGTTAGGGAAAGGCCTTGTCACGTACTTGTGATGGTTGAACTTAGTGGTAAGCTGCTTCGGGCTAATAATTGTCAGTGAATATACTTGTATACTACTTTCTGCATTCATAATTTCCCAACACCATCACTGTTTTACAGATAGCTGTAGACACTCACTGTTGTACCACTCTCCTGACCTCCTCTGTGCAATTTGACAATGATTTGAACCAAAAATGTCAAATTTGGATTCCTCACTCCATAAGACCTTTTGTCACTCACTTTCAGTCCAGTTCTTGTGTAATTTAGCAAACCTCGGTGTTTCTCCCTGTTTGCCCTTTTTAAGAATGGCTTCTTGACAGCGAAGCCTCCACTGTGACCATTTCTGATGAGGCTTCGACAAACAGTAGATAAGCTGAAGGGACAGATGTATCTCTCAGGTCCTATGTCAAGCCTTTTCTGGCTTTTTTTCCTATTTATTAAGGACACAACTTTCATCTGCTGAAGATGATCCCCGGGCTTGCCATTTCTTTTGTCACATAACATAGCAAGCTGCAAATAACAACATATCAAAAGACAGAATATAAAATTGGTTCTATCGTTGATTGTCTGTTAGGTGTACACACAACACTGGTTCTTCCTTTGAGTTTGTTGCCTTTTTATGCGTGAATGATTCATAGGTCAACATATTCCTCTGAAGATGATCAGGTACAAGAACTAGACTGAAAATGTGTGGAGTAAAAAAACAGCCAAAGATAAACTTTGAAAGGCTTTCAGAAAGCCTGGAAAACTATTGCTTAAGACATTCTTCCCATACACGAATATGAGCAGGGATCATTCAGTCTGGGTGAAAGTCTGGTACAAGTCTTGAGAACTGCTAATCCAAAAATATTTAACTCACTACTGCACTTACTGGGGCGATCGTGGCTCAAGAGTTGGGCCTTCGTCTTGTAATCGGAAGGTTGCCGGTTCGAGCCCCGGCTCGGACAGTCTCGGTCGTTGTGTCCTTGGGCGAGGCACTTCACCCGTTGCCTACTGGTGGTGGTCAGAGGGGCCGGTGGCGCCAGTGTCCGGCAGCCTCGCCTCTGTCAGTGCGCCCCAGGGTGGCTGTGGCTACAATGTAGCTGCCATCACCAGTGTGTGAATGTATGGGTGGATGATTGTGTAAAGTGCTTTGGGGTCCTTAGGACCAAGTAAAGCGCTATACAAATACTGACCATTTGCCATTATTCAGACTGAGAACTTTTATTGTCATTGTACAGTTGCTTGCACAAAGAAATTATGTAACAAGACCACAAGGTGCAAAAGTAAAAGACAAACACAAACAAGCCGCCAGTTAAAATCTTCTCCACTTATTTAAAACATGCTCTAATCAGTAGTGTTTAATATGGAGTCACTTTGGACCACAGAGAGAGACTGCTAAAGGTAAATACCATGGAAAGAAGTACTGTGATAATCTTTATCTGAACTGATCTGTTCCATAGTAAATTTTGCAAATGCACCTAGTCATTTTATATAATTTTTTCAGCAGTTGTGCAATATAGGTGAAACCACAGAGGGAAACAACAGCTCGCCGGAGTCTCGGGAAATAACCAGAGCATATTGTTATTTCCTCTATCAGTGAGCTCAAGAAGCTCACGAGTCTCTGTGTTATTGCTGCTCCGATGTGAAATCTGAAAGCACATTTCGATTTAAACACATAAAACTATGAGTGTTTTTGACTTTTAGACTTGTATCATAATGACAAATATAAGATAAACTGATATACAGTAGCTATGATTATGTTTGGAGGTGGATTTAGTTTCAGGGAGCTCAGACATTTAAAACTTTCCCTCCCAATCTCTGTATGTACCGCTTGATATTTTTAAACTGGAATTCTTGCTTACTTTAATCAGACTTGACACCATTTTTGTCTCTCGAGTGATTAATAAATCACTAAGCATCTTCAGTCATCTTTAAAGAAACATTTTATTTATGGGTAGTGCAGGAATTAGTGATGAATTCTGAGTAAACAACAGAGACCCAGAAGGAAGAGATGATCCCCACCTGTCACTGGAAGGTAGTGATGACCCTTGGCAATGCTGTTGAACAGGACGAAATGCTGTATCTGACAAAGTCACGACATCCCGAGATATTTATGGATGTTACATCAACCTAGATCTCCCATTGATATTACCCACTTCTAAAGCAGCTTTTTATTGAATTCTGAGACGGAGCAGCCCAGGGCATAAACATGTTTGTCTGGATCACAGCCTCGAAGCGAGGAAGTGTCATGTTCCTTCCGTCTCTCTTCGCAGCTTTTTATGAGAAAACTGAATGATTCATAGGAGATGTGTAATTCCCATGTACTGTTCGTTCAGTCTTGGCATCTAAAAATAGGAAGACACCACACCTTTGTCAGTATAACTCTCTCCCCGACACTTTGTCTCGAATGGCGAGTCTGATGTCTGGCTGTCTGTGTGTATGAAACACTGCTCATAATGTTGCACAAGCATCAGATAGAGGGAAACGGTAGGGAAGTAAGAAAAACTGGTGCCATGTTTTGGACCATGTGCCGATCCCTCTCTGCCCGTCATTTCATCATGATTTGTCTGCAGCGCTCTTGGATCGTTAAAGCTGATGCGTTCTCCATTCCTTCACTCCTCACTTGTGTTTCGGTATTAACGTGTGAGGTCAGTTTTCCCTCCGAAATAGAGGCCAGTGCAAGTAAAGTAAAAATGTGGCTGAAAGCTGCACTGTCAATTTAACTGAAATATAACATACGTGCGTTGGTTGTCAAAACAAACATTACTCTCGTGTTTCATAAAATTGTCTCTTTTGCACGTACTCCGGCTCGTCTTTTGTGATTTCCAGTTGAATGTAATCCATTTGAACCATTTACCCCGCACATGCTAGAGCGCACTTTCTCACAATGCCTTACAATTTTCATTCAAATGAGACTAAGATGAGTGGAGGCTTTACAGTTCTGCAGTGTGCTGACTCATTAGGATTTTCATAACCATTTAGGGCTGCAAATCACAACATAAATGAGTTCTAATGTGTTTCTAATATATCTGCTTCTGTGATGTATACACAGTGGAAACGGCTCAGAGTAACATCAATACTGAGCTATGTATTTTAAATAAAAATGTGAATTTCATGGAAGTTCAATGTATGATTTTCATTGTTCACTTGCAGGGTACTGCTTCGTGAGCTAAAGCGCCTGGAGAATATCAGCCAATCACCATTCACCTCTCACATCACCAGCAGCCTTCAAGGCCTCTCCACCATCCATGCCTATGGAAGAGGGCATGATTTCCTCCAAAGGTGAGTACAAGGCTAGCTATGGGCATCATTAAACTTTAATTTCATCTTATCTCTTCTTGTAGTTTTTGAGGTTGCTCCTCTGTTAGTAAACATACCAGAGCCCATACCAGAATATTTCCCCTCAGCAAGCAGGAGAGTGCAGAGCTCTGCTTGCTTCTACTCTGGCTGAAATTAGTTTACGGTATCTCTCTTTCTCTCCCTCTCTTTTTTTTTCAGATATCAGGAATTGCTGGACACCAACCAGGCCTCAAACTACCTCTTCAGCTGTGCAATGCGTTGGCTGGCTATCCGCCTGGACCTCATCAGTATCTCCCTTATCACTGCTGTAGCACTGCTCATTGTCTTCATGCACAATCAGATACCTCCAGCCTACGCAGGCTTGGCCATATCATATGCAGTGCAGGTGTGTAAACAAACTCATGTAGTAACACAGAATGTGCAAAAACACTGACGGCTCTGGTCCTCTGAATGGCAAAAAAGTTGACAGTTTGAAGCTCCGGGCTGTGTAGGAAGGGTAGCAAGGCAGCCTCTATAACTGTGTGCGTCTAAATGTGAGTTAAAACTTGTCTGAATATACACCGATCGCCTTGTGTACTTAACCTTATTGAGAAAACTGGTCCAGGCAGTTTGGGGCAAGCACATGTGGCTGGATGTTGCCAACGTGTACAGCACGGGCCGGATAGGTCTTGTTGCAGGCGCATCCTGTGGATGCTTAATCAGACAGGGATTTTAGTCAACACTGGGAGCTCTTTGTTGAGAATTTCAAGTTAGTCCTGAACAGATTCTTCAGTGTGGGTGTTCTGGTTGCTGCCATGGGTGGTAAGCTTTGTCTGCACCATTGTTTGGGTAGGAGTTACGTAACCACAATATAACCACAGGAATCCCATGAAGTAAGAGTTCAAGGTGGAACATTGAACTCTAACAGGGTTACCATTGTCATTCTTGGCATCTTCACCTTGCCTAGTTTTAATGTTTGCTTCATCGATTTGAAGAGACAGATTAAAATGAGGCTTTTTGTGTTTGACAGAACAAAACATCATTCATCTTTTTTATTCTGCAGTATTTTAGCTGTTATTTGCTGCTTAATATGGGTCTTGTAGCACTGCATGAAGCAGCCATTGATTAGCACAGGTTACATGGTCTGGCTTTAACGCACACTCTCACCTTGCTGTACACAGACAGGATGATTTTCACAGTGTGTCTTAGAAATATGTTTGTTTTCTCATTGCCCAGTTTTTGGTTTTTTAAGATTCTGTTCTTTACTGCACGTTATAATCGACACAGAGAATTGAAATCGATTAACAAGATCGTGAAGGAGCCATATCAGCAAACCTGTTTATTAGGCTGTAAATTGCCAGTTGTTTTATTGCTCAATTGCTGAAGGGGGGCAGCGCACATAAATAGCGAGTGTTTCATAGTAATTGGTGTGACACTGTTAATCATTAACCTTTTTACCCCTCTGCTTTTCTTTCTCTTCCAGCTGACTGGCTTGTTTCAGTTTACCGTGCGGCTCCTCACCGAGACAGAAGCTCGCTTTACATCTGTTGAGAGGATCAATCATTATATAAAGGTAACAGCATTGATTAGCACAGTGAGAAAGGTGGATTGTGTAACAGCATGTCTGAAATAACAGCACTAGACCAGACCACATGAGATATATGACACCGTTTTAATTCAAGGCTGTTGGCAAGTCCGTGTGTGTGTGTGTGTGTGTGTGTGTGTGTGTGTGTGTGTGTGTGTGTGTGTGTGTGTGTGTGTGTGTGTGTGTGTGTGTGTGTGTGTGTGTCACAAGCATTTGATTAGGAATGATAGAAACCTCTTGTGCAGTATTAACACACTCCAGGGCACATGATAGAGCTTATGTCACACAACTGCCATCAAACCACAATATCAGCTCAACTTTTTCTTCTGACGTGCCAAGAAAATCTCATAGAAAGAAAATCACTACAAATCAGTTAGGGGGCTTGCCCCTACACAGAGATTTACAGATTAATGCCAGATACCATCACCTTTTCCTTACCTAAGACTCTTGAGAGCGAAGCACCTAGACAAAGTCCTGAGGCAGCCCAACCTGCCCCCTCCTGGCCTCAGGAGGGAAAGATCACCTTTCAGGATGTTGAGATGCGTTATCGCGATGATCTGCCGCTGGTGCTTAAGAACCTGTCCTTCACTATCCTGCCTGAAGAAACCATCGGCATTGTGGGCCGCACTGGATCAGGTACGACTGACCTTTTCAGTTCCCCAGCCGGCAGACTTTTCAGCTTCCGTTTCCACTTAAATGTGTCTGCATTTGTTAACGCAGCATGTTTTCTATATGCGTTTGCAGGAAAGTCCTCCCTAGGAGTAGCTTTGTTCAGACTTGTGGAGCTGACTGGGGGCTCTATTATCATTGATGGAGTCAATGTTGCACAGATCGGTCTGTATGACCTGCGGAGCAAGCTAGCTATTATTCCTCAAGAGCCTGTGCTCTTCATCGGTACTATCAGGTAATCCATTGATAATTACTTTCATTATTAATCACTGCAACTGGTTTATTGAACTACCTTAAAAATCTTTTGGCTAAAAAATCATATCAGAAAACACCAACGTTTTGGCAATTAATGCATCTGCTTTAATGGAAAATTTGTTTTAGTTGTACAACCAGGTAGATAGCTACTCTCTTCCTCGAAAGTGCCTATAGTCAGCCCATCTGTTTAAAGCTATAGTATATGTGTTGAACATCAAAAGTGAGCAGGATATTTTCCATCTAGTCACTCAGTGTCTGTGATTGTGTTTTCAATTTTGCCTGAAATTGGCTTTTGGGAGATGTTGGAAGATGTCGCTGCTGTGTGTGCACAGCGGTGATCTGATGTGTGCCCATTACAAAAAGGAAAAATGATGCTTTGTGTTAAGAAATTAAACAACAGGGGTGCTAGGTCTGACAGGCCAGAGTATTCAAAAGCAAAAAAGCACCTCTGTTTTGTGAATGAATTCCCTCAGCTGCAGGTCAGAATCGATCCTGGCCATGGATTGTTTTGAGCTCAGGATCAGAGTATGCTGCCCTTCTTGTCATAATGTGAAATAGACACGGGCAGATGCATTTCAGGAGGTTGAGTTTGCTTCGATCACCCTAAAACCTGCCCCAGATGTACCAATTTGTGAGGGTGTGTGGTCCTCTGCATAAAAAAACACACTTCATGAGACTAGAAAAGTATAATAGTATAATATATAAGTGTTGTCCATTTATCACTGTCATAATGTATAATCAGTATGAACGTCAATACCATGGTTTATTTCCAATAGGAGCAATTTAGACCCATGGGATCAATACTCTGATGCTGAGGTCTGGGAAGCTCTCGAGAAGACACATATAAAAGAAATGGTGAGTTACAAATTGGTTGGAGTGTAAATTATATTTTACATGACTAAAGCAGCTTCCTTTTACATCTTTATGTCCCTTTGACCTTCCTCAGGTCAGCCAGCTGCCTCATTCACTCCACTCAGAGGTGACAGAGAACGGAGAGAACTTCTCAGTGGGAGAGCGGCAGCTCCTCTGTGTGGCCAGAGCCCTGCTGAGAAACAGCAAGGTGCTGATTGTATAATGCTGCTGGTTTATATTTCCATGTGGAATAGTTGATAAACTCCTCAGTTCTAAAATGAATAATCAGTCTTGCCATACAACCACCTGCATGGGATACCACTGCCCCCTGCTGGTGGTATCCCATAGCTGGTACGGCTTCTGAACTGATAGCATGAGGTCAGACATCATCAGGACATAGCGTATAATTTTATTTGTTTTCAGCTATTTTTGTGAAGTACTATTTCATAACTTTATATGTCAATAACCATGCATGTGCACCACAATTTCAGCCTTTGCTTTGTTTGGAAGGTTTCTTTCAGTTTTCTTATTTCATCTTATTTTTCTGCAACCTTGGTTGATTAAATCAGCTATCACACACCTGCCCCTCAAATGCCTCTCACATCATATAAATTCTCCTTCACTGAAAACAAAAACTTTGCTTTGAGCAATATTTGCATCGTTTTTTTTATATTATAAAAAATTACTCGATTCCATAATGTGGGTCGTTAGAGTCAATGAAACAGTGCAATCGAAGTAACCAAACTCCCATAATATGAATGCACGTGTCTCTTTTTAAAGATCCTTTTATTGGATGAGGCAACAGCAGCCATTGACACCGAGACAGATCGTCTCATCCAGGAGACCATTCGCACTGCGTTTGGCAGCTGCACTACTCTCATCATCGCCCATCGTCTCAACACAGTGATGAGCTGCAGCAGAGTCATGGTCATGGACAGCGGCCAGGTGAATATAAATGCAGTATGTCTGACTGTGAAACTCGGTCCAGTGGTTGAAACTCAATCGTTGATGTGATATTCCCTAAATTACTGTGTGTTTGATATGACGGATGGAATGAGACAGTTCATGTTTCACTTGAGCAGTTTTCAAGACTCTTGATGGTAGCTGATAACATGAAAAGCACACAAGTAGTCACCAGTTTATGTGTTTCAGCCCTTATCCCTTAATCAGTTGAGTTTGCATTTTTGGCATCAGTAAGTAGAGTAAAATAAGATGGATGCATCAGAAGAGACAAGATTTATAGCTTGAATTTACACCCAGTTTTTTGGCTGTGCAGTGGAGTGAAAAAATCACAGATATTCGTAAGCGTGTTGTTTTATTACTATTAGATGTACCTAAATGGTTCATTACTTCATGCATTTTGCATTAAAAAGACAATTACATTTCCATTTTGTAATCTTTGGCTTTGCCTGTATTATAAAAGATCCCAAAATATTTTGTTGTTCGAGCCTCGTTGATAATGTCAACATGGCTCAAACAGTGTTGGCCACTGTGTGCCGGGAGTGATCGCTACTCCTTATAGGAACTTATGATTCAGCAAAGTGCAGCAAAGGCTGTCTGAGGACAATATTTCCCACATATTGAAATGCTTTTCATACACGGCCGCTGGGAAATATCTTCGGTTGGAGTAAGTTTGGAGATAATGTGCCCAGACTTTATATGCAAGTGCTGATTTTGTTTTATCCTTTTCATTCTCGTAGATTTTGGAGTTTGACAGTCCCGTTGCCTTGCTGGCAGATGAAAACTCAAGATTTAGAGCCATGATAGAAGCATCAGAAAACCAAAACAGATAAAACACGCTGGAGCTGAACTTTGGACCTGAGCTGTGATCCTACAAAATATCAAGCTGAATAAATGATTTGCACACACACACAAATCCTGCCAAGTGTGAAAATGATGAGTAAAGAAATCCACTGATGGGTTGTCCATGCAACCGTGTCCGTTTATTTCCTCACCAAAGACACAGAGACAGCACTTCCTAACAGCACATCAAATCTTAGTATGCTAAGTGAGATCTATCAGCCACCTGCTCTTTGCCGCCGTGTCACAGGAGTTGTTTCCTGGGCACCAAACAATTAGCTGCAAGTGAAACAGAGCTGCGTCTCTGACAATAGCACTTTATGTGTCATGTGGACACTTGGAAGGACGTAGGATGGTTCTTTTTTTCAGTTAATCAGTCAGACACTAAATTAGTTTTATTTCCATGACTGAGACCTGACAGTCCAGGAAATTAATGTTAGGCAGAAAATGGTGTGGATCAGATTTAATTTCTTATTTGCATTGCTACTGATGTTTGTTTGTTTATGTCAGGAATTTATTTGTTTGAATTAATTATTAAATACAGTATATTTGAAAAACATCACCTTCTATTCATTCCTCAAAATGGCTTTCCAAAAGAGGAACAATCATGAAAAGTGCAATATCCCTTATTTTCAAGATTGCCTTTGTACACTTGAGATTGTGAAGCTGTAATATAAATTTGTTAAATGTGGGATTTTTGATATATAGAGGTTTTTTTGAATAAACCTATTTTTAATTTATTGGTGACGTGTCTAGTCTATTCTTATAAGATGTCCATCAAGGATGTTATGTGGTTGTTTGATTTGTCTCTGGATTCCTCAAAAGGTTATGAATGCATACGCAGGAAAGTGTTACCAGAGGAATTTTTGGAAAGGATCTTTTGCATTCCTTGAGAAAACAAACTAGGGCAATTCATGTTTTATCTTCACATTGAAATAATTTCGATACATGCTTTTGATTTACTAGACTCGATTCATACATGCTGTGGAGGTCTTTATCAGCCTGAAAGCCTTGAGCCTTCTTCATGCTACTCTTGTTTTAATGGTAAAGGAAATTGCATTATTTTAAAAGTAATAGCAGTCAGTATAGTATAGAGGGAAAAAGAAAGTTTTGTAAAGTGTCTTGTTGCTCCTTAGCAGCAAAACATCTGATGATTTTTCCTTGGGTGACTTGCCTAGAGTTAGCTACAAGTTTCAAAATGAGAATCAGTTAAAAGAAGTGAGCTTACCGGCCTTTATCACCCTCACTTTATTCCCGCTTGAGGCTATTAGCCTGAGGAAATAGTACCAAATGCTACCAGTAAACATGATTTGCATTGTGGGTACTGCAGACACAGTGTGTGTTTTTTTTTTGTTTTGTTTTTTGACAGGGGAAAAGAATGCATGGAATACAAAACACATCTGGTTCTACTGAATTTTAAAGCATTTCCAATGTGAGTGTAACAGTGCCGCAGACGAGTCACGCTGTATCAGTCAACTCCTATTTTTCAGTCTATTTTATAAAAGTCACAGAGACATTTATACATGAATATTCCATTAGCTCGTTAGGGAATTGTGAAGCCTTTTGTTTCAGAATAACCCCGCATGAACATGACATCTAAGGCCTCCTCTAGTACTGTATGCAGGCGTTCAACAAACGCAAAGGTTAAATTGGGGTTTATGAGAACATTTCAAAAGTGTAAAGTCCTAATCTGCAGATTTCAGCAACAATCTGCCCACATGCACTTCAGCAAAACTAAGAAATCCACTTTTTTTTTAACCCTTGAGATCAACTCCAAGTGAAGAAACATGAAAGTAACAAATAGAACATATGACTTTCCCATCTGGTCACCTCTTCCTGCAGTATGAAAATCCACCAAACTGGCATAAACAGCTGTTGGTAAATAACATTAATTCCTTACAAGGTAGGGAAATATCTGAAGATCGTGAAGTCACACAGGAGTAAAGGGAATACCTTTAATTTATGAAACTTGAACTATTCCACATAATGCAAAAGTTACACTGCATTTCATTTGGAGTAACCTTTGTGTGTGTTTTCTCGGACCCCCAAATGATTGCATATCAGACTCAGAATGTTAATATTTTTTGCCCAGGATTTACCTCCTCATCACACACCTTACAATAACCTTACCTGCTGCCTTCATGCTATAATGTATACTTGAAGAGAGTCCACAGTGTTTTTGTGTTGTAACTTTTTATTTTATTTTTTTGGAGGAAAATATTTGAAATGTTTGACTAACTGTGAAGTTTTTTCTTCTTAAAAGCTCAGACTCTGACTTCCTCAGTCCGAACTGGAGGGACAGATTTTCATATTACACTGAGATAACTGCTAATGTGCTGAAACTGGAGTTAAATATGGAAAATTTTCTGGAAGATTATTTCTGAAGACATCTTAAAGAAATTACAAGAAAGCTTGCCTGAGTTCGGACTGTGTTTAAGAATAAAAGTGCTCATACCAAATATTGACTTTCCAGTTAGTTAGAGATGTACAAACTTATTTTGCCGTATTACACCATGTATAAAAACCATGTATATTTATTTTGTATATCTGTGTGCGTGCGTGTGTTGACTAGGCTTTAAAGGTTAAATGGGAGACCACAAATTATGCAGGATGTAGATTTTTTTAGTCAGACATTAAAGCTAAATACCCCCTAATTAAATCTAATATTATATAATAGCCTAATAACCAAATACACGTGAGTGTTTTTAATAGCGCACTTTTAATCAGAAAGGAAAAACATGGAAACGATTAAAAAACATTATTTGTTCTCTATTTACTTACTAGAGCAGGGGTCAGCAACCTTTAACACCCAAAGAGCCATTTGGACGCAATTTCCACGCAAAAGAAAACACTGGGCGCCGCAAATACTTTTTGACATCTAAAATGAAGATAACACTGTATATATTGTTTTTTTTTACCTTTATGCTTTGTGTGAAGAACTAAGGTGTGTTGCTTAAATCCATGAAGTGCTACAGAGAAAATTACATTTTATTTATGTAATGAACACACTTTGAACTCTTAAAGAAATATAACAAAAGCAAAGACACGCAGCTGAACTAAAATGATCCAGCAAACAAAAACTGTTGTGAGCCGCCACCCTTATATCGCCTTTGGACTTTTGGAGCCTTGACCTGACTGTTAAAAAAATTATTGGAAAATGAAAAGCAGATGTTTGCAAAATTCTGCCTAAATATGTATTTTACCCGGTTAATGTGTGCAGCCCCGCTGCAGGGGAGGCGGACGCACCTGAGCGGCGCCCGCAATCACGCCTTAACGTCTGTGCTCTCTATGCTGTTGTGTTGGTGTGTGTCGGGCTGTGAGCTGCAAAGCTACAGCCGGCTGTGTGCGTACAGCACCCGTGTGTGAAAAGTGGTCAATAAAGAGATGCTGAAAAGCCTGTTCATGGAAACATCGTCGGGTCTGCCGTGATATGTTTACAATGGGACTTCTGCTCCTGAACCTCTGCGCACAGCGTCTGCAAATCGAGGCTGTACGAAGTCACTTTCAACTTTACGCAGGACTGTAAGCTGTCGTCTGTGAGGCGTGAGCGCTGTTTGAGCGGCTTATTTTGAGCGATCAAAAAATAATAGAATATCATTTTAGATTTATATTTCAATATCACAATAATCTTCCAATTTAGAACTACAAGTTAAAAAAGAACTAACATAAGTAAAATACACAAAAGCTAATTACTTAAAAAAACTAATTTATTTTCCCAAACCACGCGGAGCCGCACTAAAAGGACTAAAGAGCCGCCGGTTGCCGACCCCTGTACTAGAGTAACTTCTTCTTCTGTATAGGGTCTACTGGCGGTTTACTAGAGTAACTAAAAAGCACAAAGCTTTTTATGCAATTTAGTTTCCCTGACTTTTATTTTGAAGTTCACGACTGGAACCCTGCCGGAAGTGAGTTTGGCTGTTGTAGCTCGCCCCAGGCTGCTGGAAGGAGGAAAGCCTTAGCTGTGATGCCGCTGGATGATGGCTGCTTTCGGGATCTTAAGTTACGAACACCGTCCATTAAAGCGGCCCCGACTCGGCCCTCCGGACGTTTATCCGCAAGATCCAAAGCAAAAAGAGGTCAGATTTGACGACGTGCTCCCTGAACGGCCGGGAGTAACGTTTTCTCGAGGAAAATTGTAGGCAGAGGAGCTGTGCGAGCTAACACTAGCTTGCAGTCCTGTGAACGGTCTGGGCCTAGCAATAACAATGAACAGAACCTAGTTGTCAGTTTGTTAGCTAGCTTGCCTTTCTTAGTTGACAATCAGCTACTTGGTAAGATCGCTGAGTTTGCTAAGCTAACTCTTCGGGTGGCGGATGCGTTGCAGTTTGATATAAACTGCAGCCATTGTCTTACTGTGTGGTTTTAAACAATATGCGCTCGGTGTTGGATTGTGCGTGACTGTTTCTGTTTAATAGCCATATGGTTTGTTTTTACGAATAACCAGACCTTCAAAGCTAATCTTTATTACCAGCAAGCTGTAAATTATTTGCTGAGTTTTTAGACTGGAGTTTGGCCTAGCTGAGGTATCCCTGTTCGTTCATATCCAGCAATAACCTGATGTAATCTGTTGATGCAAATGGAAAAAGTGACTCTTTATGTTTCCCCAATAATAATTAAAAAAATGTTTTTATTGTTATTTATGTTTACGTCATGTCTGCAAAACCAATCAACCACGCATCCTGACTTTCTCAGTGGTCTGGGATCTCAAATTATACCACTAACGTCGCATGAAAAATATCATTTCTCTTCGCTGAAATGTGTTTCAGGATGAGTTGACTGCATTGAATGTGAAGCAAGGATTCAATAACCAACCAGCTGTATCCGGTGATGAACATGGCAGTGCCAAAAATGTCAACTTCAACCCTTCCAAGGTAATGGCTCATTTTAACACAGCTCCTGCTCTAGCATACCATTCACAACTGGATGGATTCTCCCCCCCTCCCCTGCTGGATTTTGGCCATCTTACATGTTCCCCTCTCTCTTTATAGATCAGCTCAAACTTCAGCAGCATTATTGCAGAGAAGCTGCGCTACAGCACGTTTCCAGACACAGGGAAGCGTAAACCACAGGTCAACCAGAAGGATAATTTCTGGCTTGTCACAGCGAGGTCACAGAGCTCCATCAATAACTGGT